GCTTGACTGACGCTAGGGTTACCTTGTGCTTGTCCTTTCCTTCTGCACGTGACCCATGTTTTTTTTTTTTTAATTCTTAATTGGCATGTTGGAAATACTTCCTTGGCATGTGCATGACGATCCCTCTGGTGAGTTTTATTCTTCTTTTACTTTTCTTTTGGGTTTGGTAATGTGCTTTCTTTTGTTAGCTTGTTATTCATCATAAGGGCCCACTTGACGCTCCCTCGCTCAGTTGTTAATTGGTTTATTTTGTTTCAGGTTTGATGTTGTTTTTCTTCTGGTCTCGACCGAGCCGTTGTTGAAGCAGTTTACTTCTTTGCTCGGGGACCAGACGTGTTGGACTTACTGTTGACGTCCCTTACTTCCCTGCTGTTGCTCACTCTACTTGGCTTCGTTTACCTCGATGAGTTTGCACATTAGTGAACTATGTCCCCTTGAATGGCATTTATTGCATCTTGTCTTCTTGGTTTTTCCTCTTTTCTTGATGCTTGGTTTATTTTCCATTTGTTCTTTTGTTTCAACTAGTTGTTCCTTATGTTTCAGTGGCGCTGGACTCTGTGAAGTGGTTTCCTCCTGTCGTGCTGATTGTTTTGGAGTCGCCGTGCTGTTCTGAGCTGCTTCCAATGCTGTGTTGCTGTTGGATTTATCGAGGACGAGTTTGGGTTGCAGTTCCCGCTGCTCCTTCTGTGGTGAGTTTACTGTTTCTATAGCTTTTATTTGGAGTTCTATTGCCATTATTTCTTGCATCATTTCTTTCTCTTGGGCTCTCATGCATTCCAACACTTGCTTTACATACTCTGGATCTTTTTCATTAGTTTTTATTATTTTTGGGCTTGTGCAGTAGATTTCCTCAATGTCCGAATCGTTTTCTTCCAAATTTATAACTTCAATTTCTGATTCTGAAGTTTGAGTCCCATGCTCCTAGCAAATTTGTATACCCTGGGTCTTCGAACCAGTTTAGAGCCTCTTCTTCTTTCCTGAGTTTTTCTGCATATTCTTTTCTTTCTCTGGCTTCTCGTTCTCGTTGAGCTTGGATCTTTTGTTTTCTGATTTTTTCTCTTTGCTCGAGCTGTTCTCTTCTAAATTCTGCGTCTCGTTTTTTCTTTCTAAGTAGCTCTTGGTGTTGCCTCTGTCTTACTTTTCTTTCTTTCTCCTCCTCTTTTTCAAATAGTTTTGCTAGTGGTGATGTTTTGGTTTGTTTAATTTGCTTGTTATTCTGTTTCAGTGGCGTAATCCGATCCGTGTTCATTTTGAGAGTGTCCTTTGGCTGAAGTGGCGATTCCCTGGCCCATTCTTTATGGTGGCTGGTTTTGGGTATTTGGTAAGTTTTCTTTACCTTTCCATCCTTCAATTCGTGGGTAGGGTCCTTTTCGTTGGTTCCTTTACGAGCAATCCAAGTTCTGGGGGCCATTTTTGCAGATGTTTTCCGATTTCCGATTTGGTAGCTGAGTTGGGTTTAGATTCAAGTTTAACTTCGATACAAGATGGCGGGCAAGGACAAGATGGCGGCCGGTTGTTTCCGGTTAGTCGTAGGAGGCGGTGCTTTCATGGCCGGTTCGACTCATGCTTGGTTCTCCTGTTGCAGGTTATGTGGGCCCGACTATTTCCGAGGCGTCAGAGTGCCGATTGCGAGCAGGCGGTGCTTCGCAGCTGTTTGTTGACAAGGTTGGAGTGCGTCCGTGAAGAATTGAACTTTTGGTGACTGCTCCGGACGTTTGAACTTGAAGACACCGATTTTCGAGTTCCGGAAGATGCCCAGCTGTGACCGACGTCGTGGGTCAAGTGGTTCAAGAAGATCCGCCGCGTCCTGTTGGTGGACGTTCCAACCTTTGCCGTTTCACGGCTTTCCCGGCGGGACTCTCGGCATCATTGTGGTGTCGGGGTCTCGGGGGCTGTTCTCAGGCTTGGGATCCGGGAGACAGTCTTTTCCATCTGGCCAGTGGAACCGGGTACCGGCGGGCCCCTTTGTGTACGGGGGCCCGGGGTCGTTGCCAGGGAAAGGCCTCGGCTTTATGTCGGGGATAGCCCCCTGGTGCGGCCCCGCCGGCGTAGTTGGGCTGGAAGTTGCCTCTTCCGTTCCCGGCCTGGTTCCGTGACCGGGTCGGGATGTAAGTGGAGTTTTCGTCGGGAGCGGCTCAGTCAAGACCAGCAACGCCTCTGGAACGGGCGCCGACCGCAGCACCAGCGTCCGCAGCGCGGCCATGGTGGTCCCGGCCATCGCCGCCGCGAATACCAGCGTGGTCTGCTGGGGCACCGCCAGCGTGAGGCGGATGAAAGCGGAACTTCACTTCGAGAGCGGCTCCGATGGACCAGAAGAAAGCCTCGCAGCGCAGGGCTGGAAGGCTGCTCTTCGCCGCCACCAGCGCCAGCAGCACCGTCAGGTTGAGAGCTCACCATCGGGTTCTGTGACAGCAAGCTTCACGACAACTGCACCACAAGCGGGTGGCTGGCGGTGATTGCCACAGACCATACCGGAGACCTGGACAAGGCCAGGCTGCCCTTTCCTTCACCCTTGGTCAGTCGTGCTGGCCCGTTGACATGTCGTCTTTGGTTATTGGATGACTCAGACGTATGTGAGCCAGGCAGCTTGAGTCTCTTCCTCGGAGTTTGGATATGCTGCCAATCTGTCGGTGTGGACTATCATCATGGTATATGGGTGAGCTTCCTTCTGAATTCTTGCGTTACAGTCGTTTAAGATACTTAGTATAGTGTAGGGTCCTTCCCATGGTGATGTTAACTTTGGGGAGACTCCTTTAATCCCTCTTGGTCTGTAGAGATAGACCCTGTCTCCTGCCTTGAATGGGGTCAGCATTGCCGTGTTGTCATATCGTTGTTTCATTTTTGTTGCAGCTGATTCTTGCATTTCCCTGACCAGTTCGTGGATTTGGTCCAGACGCTCTCTGATTTGCTGCGGCATGGTTCCAACGTCCTTTGTCCATGGTGGGCTTCCTTGATTCAGTGTGAGTGGAGTCCTCATTGTTGTGCCAAACATCATTTCATACGGAGAGAACTTGTGGACTGGATTTGGCAAGTTCCTGTACGCCTGAGCTATGTGAGGTAAATATTTCACCCACTCTTTTTGGACTTTATTTACAAGCATTGCCAACTGCTGCTTGAGGGTTCTGATCCACCTTTCCACTTTTCCGTTGGCTGAAGGGTGAAAGGCTGTTGTTCGATATTTCTTTATCTGGTACAAGTCCATTATTTCCTGGAATAGTTGCGACTCAAAGGGTGTCCCTTGATCCGAAAGGATAGAGACTGGTGCTCCGTAAACTGAGAAAACATGGGTTATTAATGCAGTTGCAATTTCTTTAGCATCATTTTTAACAAGTGGGACTACAACTGGCCAGCCTGAAAATGCCTCTATTGCCACTAATATGTACTCGTATCCTTCTTTTGTTTTAGGTACTTTGCCACAAATATCTACATGCCACCTGCCATGGAGTGTTCCTTCCTTGAATATTTTGAGTGCTGCGTTTTTGGTGGGGTGTCTTGGTTTCTTGAACCTTTGACAAGTGTCGCAATTGGATATGTGTGCTGCTACATCATCGGCCATTCTGGGCCACCAGAAAAACCTACGTAGGTAATTGAGTGTCATTGTTTCACCAAAGTGATTCCCTTCTCCCAAGTTTTGATGGTATTCTCTGACTGTGAATTTTACACTGGCCCTGGGTAATATTAATTGCAGCGTTTCTTTTGCAGGGTCTCCTGTTGGGTCTTCAAACCTCCTGTAGAGTACTCCATTTTGAAGTGTTAAGGAGTTGTACTGGTGCCAAAGTGTTCTGGTGTTGCGCCCAAACTTGATGACATCTTGAAGAAGGGGCTTCTGGCCTTTCTCTACTGCTGTGATAATTGGGGCCAAGTTTTTGTCTGCTCTCTGCAGTGATGCCATCTCTAGTGGTGTTTCCCCTTCAGGTGAGATTGCAGTGTGTAGAATTTCTGTAACCCTTTTATTTTCCTCAACTGTTTGGCAAATGCGACAACTTTCTTCACAAGTTCTCACCTTAGTTGGGTCTGGCTGAGTGTGGTGGTGACAGATGTTGATGGTCATATTTGTGTCTTTGAATACTTTGTAGAGTAGCGGAATTATTTCTAAATTGTTTTCTGGACTTTTGTAATAGTCAAACTCTGGTAAATTCCACTCGGTGATGTTTCTGTTGATGAGCCAGGCTTTCAGGATGTTTAATGCTATTTCTACATCATTAACGTGTGGTCTGCGTTCCATCTTTTCCTTGACAATGAGACTAATGATTGTTTTGTTGTTTCTGTTGTAGGTGCACAGCCCGGGGAATGTTTTGTCTGTGTTCGAGTGGAAGTCTCTTTTGACTTGGTACCACTCTTCGATTTGCCTGGCCAGTGGAGAGGAGAACTTCCCTTCCAAGCTGATTGGGTGAACTACTGGTGCTGTGTTGGGGGCCTGGAGTACTGATGTGAAGACTTCCTGGATTGTTAACCCTTCCACAAGAGTGGAGCTGATGAGGTAAGCTGTTGCGTCCTTAGCTTCGATTTTTGTGCACTTTTTGCAGTTAGGTTCACATGGCCTGTCTGGCCGTCTACTTAGTGCATCTGCATGACTGATGTTAGTGCCTTTTTCGTGCACAACTGTGAACTTGTATGGAGACAACTTTTCCAACCATCTTGCTAACATGCCAGTAGGGTTTTTGAAATTTTTAAGCCATTGTAGAGCTGCGTGATCTGATTTTACTATGAAAGGTGCTCCTGCTAGATAATGATTGAAGGCTTTTACTGACTCTACCAATGCTAGGAGCTCCCTATGAGTGACACAGTAATTTCTCTGTGCTGGGGTTAATGTTTTTGACCAATAAGCTATTGTTACTTCATTGCCGTCTTGTTCTTGTGTTAGGACTGCTCCTAGGCCAGTGAGGCTGGCATCACAAGTCAACGTGAATGGTCCTTTATCCACATCTGGAGAACCAAGGACTGGCGCAGTGGTGAGAGCTGTTTTTGACAGAGTCAAAAGCTTCCTGACAATAAGGCGTCCAATCAAAGTGGACTCCTTTTTCTGAGTAGGCGGTACAAGGGTGAAACCTTGCTGGCCATATGAGGTACGTACTTGCCATAGTAGGCGGCTAGACCAAGCCATGACTTTAATTCTGAGCTGTCATTTGGCTGTGGCCAATGAATGATTTTATCGATTTTATTTGAATCTACTTTTATTCCTGTTTCAGACAGGATGTGTCCTAAGAAGGAAATCTCCTTTTGAAACAACTCACACTTTTTGGCTTTGAGGAGGAACCCTCCAGCCCTGACTCTATTAAGGAAGGCTTCCAGCCGTTGCAACATTTGTTCGAAGTTGTCTCCAGCTATGCAGACATCATCCAGGTAAACAGATACAGTATTTCCTAAATCATTGTGCTTGTTGGGTTCTAAGGCTGGTGTGACTAGTCTATCTGTGACTTGTTGGAATGCCCCTGGGGCTGCAGAGAGCCCAAAACTCAATCGAGTGTATTCAAACTGTCTGTGTGGTAGTCCCAAATCTTCTGGTAAAATGATAGCTGTTTTGGGTTGATCATCAGGGTGTACCTCTAGATTGTGGTACCCGTGTGCTAAGTCAAAGGTGTGATACATTTTGTGTCCCCCTAAATTTTGTAGTTCCTGTGTTCTGGGTATTGGTGCTGCTGGAACTCTAGTGATGGCATTGAGTGCTCTGTAGTCTACACAAACTCTTACTTCTCCAGTCTTTTTAGGGACACAGAGAATGGGTGATGCCCAAGCGGATTGGCTGGGCTTGATGGCTCCCATTTTTAAATATTTCATAAATGTCTCATACACTTCTTTTCTGTAATGCAGGGGTACTGGACGTGCGTTCTGTTTGATGGGTGGATGGTCGTCGGTGTCTATTCTGAATTTCATCCATGGGCATCGACCAAATGTGAAGTTGTCTGGTGCAAATACATCGTGGTGTCTGCGAATGAGTTTTTCTACTTCTACCTTCTGTTCTGGTGGCATGGCAGTGGCTTTGATCATGGCATCTAAGTCTGCAGGTAATGGCATATTTTCTGGAATGGGTTCTTTTTCTGGCAACTTGTACTCTGCATCATGGAAATTTTCTATTTCATGCTCAGTTAAGGGGGCACACCAGTGAAAATGCAGAGGCTTCGTAAAAACGTTATTCTGAGTAAAGTAACGAAGGTAATGGGTTGAAATTTTATTCTGAAGCATAAAATATGTCAATTAACCAAAAAAGTACACGGCAGCAAGGGGGGGCGACGGGAAGGGGGGGTGGGCGCCATTTCATTTTTCGGTGACACGGCTCCACTTTGCCCAACTTTGTGAAGCCCTCGATTGAGCCTGAAACATGGGGTTTCAAAATTTCTCATCAGGACACATGTGGCTATCGTGTGAACCACGGACATGTCGGAAAAACAATCCTAAATATGTTTTTTTGAGAAGCAAAAAACGAAACATTTTTTGACCAATTTTTCACGTTTCCGTGTTTGTGGCTCAGGCCCTGTACATGCTACGACCATATCCGAGGTTCACACGATAGCGACAAGTTTAAGAAACATTTTGCCGCAAACCACACTCAATTATCTCAATTTTTGCGCCCGCAATCGTGGGCACCAGGTCCAAAAATGGCGTTTCGAGAAAACGACGTTTGAAGTGAAACTACGGTATACTCGCATTATCCTCATTACGGACGCAATTATTGACATTTTTGAGTTCGGTTTGCGCCAAAATATTCCTTTCTCCAACTGCGTTTCGATGGTTCCAGGGTTTTGGCATTGGACTTCAAGTGAAACACCTGAACGTTGACAATTGAGGTAAAATATGCAAAAAAGTTACCCTTTTAGGAACTTCAAAAATGTGCCAAGCCAAAGTAATTGGAATTTTGAGGTTGGGTTTGCGGCGTTCGACTCGGGATAAATAGCAGAAAAATATGATAAAATAAAAAAGGAGGCCAAAATTTGACGATTTTCACTGGTGTGCCCCTTAAATTCAGATGTTCTGTCCCATTTGCTATGTTGACTGCTCGACATGGACACTCTTTAATTCATTATAGTTTCATTATCGCTTTCATATCCACTCTCTTCCTCCCTTTCTAAGTCCTCCTCAAAATCTGGGGTTGCCTCATCCTCAAGACCATCATACTGTAGTGGGTGGAGTAGTAGGACTTCTGCTATAATTGCATACTTGGGAATTTGGACACAAGTGTCTCCAAGATTTAGTAGAGTTACATTTACTGGGCCTGTCACACACGGTACAACGCCTGTCTGTGTGACTATATTTTCTGAGATTTGACTTTTAACATTAGGATTACTTTTACTGGCTGTTAACAAACCAACATGCATCTTGCCTTCCGCTCTTTCGGGTGGTTGGTTCCCAATGTTTGTTCACTTTCATGTGCGTTGGCCGCACTCATCTCAATCTTTTACCAGGTTTTGTTCTTTGTTTCTAGACCGTCAGGCTGGCGATGACCGGTCTGGCTGTCAAGCTGGCGATGATCAGCCCCCTCCGCTCTTGCCTGAGACGTCACTGTGTGGCATGTCGTTTCCGGAGGTGAAGCAGAAGTGGACAGTTTCCTTTCCGACTCCGGAGGACGACTATACCCATTAATCGTCATGGCAAGCAACGCGTCAGACAATCTGACTCATCAACCACCAGGTCAGTTTCCAACTTCGTGGAAACCTGCCTCTCTACGAAAGGTTTCAGCAAGATTTTCTGATTAGCACGTATGGGGTAGGACAGATTGCCACTGGCGAAATCTCCCTTGTGCACTGAGTTTACTACTTTGTATGGAACCTGAATGTCATTTTCAAGTTCGAGCACTTTAGTTTTGGTGTTTACAACACCCTCAAATGTATCAATGAAATCATAACCAATTAGATTTTCTGTAATATCAGCCTCATAGACTGGGAACCTATAAGTCTGGTTTCCAAATTTAACATCAGTCCACTCTGGCCCATACAGCGATGTCTTGTGTGATGTCGCACTTTTTAGTCGTAATTTAGAAACAGGTAGATTGCGAGTTCGTTTAAAAACAGTTATAGTAGCTCCTGTATCAATGATGGCTTCTCTGGCCTCGCCTGCCACAAGGCAGTTTACCAGTGGGCCTTTCTTATGGGGAAAGCAAGCTGCACATTTTAATTTATGCGCCGGGTTGATATTTTCTTTGCCCAAATTGGCTTGATGTTTGCAAGCTTTAGTAATGACAGGAGGGGACACCTGAGTCCTTAGTACAGAAATAGGTTCGGTTTCCAATGGTCTTATAATTTTGGGGACCTCTATTTCCATTGGCTCAATAGAAGGCCTTATGGTTTTCCGGCTTGGGAACGTATGGCATATTTACCTTACTGTCATTTTGTGTATTATTATTAGCTTGAGTGTTGTTGTGTTGGGGTGCCTCGTGCGTGCCTGGAGTGGATTGTGTCTGGCGTACCATGACATTGCTGCTTGGTAAAGGTCTGGTGGGGCCTCAGGGAATCGGACATACGGTCCTTTTGAGTCACTGTTATAACTATTATTGTTATTATACTGCCCCTATTGTAACCGCCCCGACCTCTGCCCCTTGGGTGAGAGGTGCCTCTATAGTTGTTTGCCCGTTAGAGTTCTGACTCTGATTTTGCTCGTAATTTGAGCTGTGTTCCTGATAGCGACCTTCAGCTTCATCAGCAATGCGAAGCCTGCAGTCCGGCTTGATGTGACCACGTTTCCCACAGTAGTAGCAAGTCAAGTGATTTTGACAGGCTGCAGCGAAGTGCCCTGGTTTACCACATGTGTGGCAATGGAGTCACTGCTGGTTTGGCCACCCCGGCCTCTACCTCGGCCTCGGCCCCTACCTCTGCCTCTACCTGTTTGTGTCCCTGTTCCAGGTGCTGCTTCCTGGTCAGCGTAATTGACTTCAGCATTATCGTCTGAAACGTCAACTTCTATCTTCCTGACCTTTTTGCTGGGAGTCTCCGATGTCAGAGACAGTGCCCTATTCACATGGGTGAGTGCTTCTTCCACCGAGTTGACCGATGCATAACAAATACGCTCAGCCACTTTCCTATCTGTTAACCCCTTTGATGAAAGCCTTAACACCGGCTTGATCCCTATCGATTTGATTGCTGTTTGGCATGTAATCGACCACAGCTTCCTTTACTTTCTGAGCATAATCTCTCAGAGTTTGTCCCTCTTCCTGTTTAAGTGACTCGTAAACTCGAGTCCTCTCCCACAACTCTCTCCGGATATGGAAAGTGTTCTCTAACTCAGCATCAAATTGGCAAATGTTAATGGCCTATTTTGTGTGGTCAAGGTTCGAATGACCTTGGTAGCTTCCCCTTGTAGGGCCTGCAGTAGGAATGCCCCTTTGTCCTGTTCGGACCAGTTTTTGTGTTCTGCGATGCTCAGAAATTGTGCTCTGTAGACATCGTACCCCTGCTGCCTATATGGTGGTACATAGCCAGATGTGGAAGTGACTTAGCTACTGGTTGCATGTGTGCTGGAGGGGCGCGGTTAATTAGGTCGCGCATTAGATTGTAAAATTGGGGGGCTGTAGATTATCTTGCTGATCGCGCCTATCTTCGCGGCGGTAAGGGTGCGCGCGTCGACGGCGGCGTGGCGCCTGGCTGTACTCGTCGTCTTCCTCATCATGATCCCCACCAGGATTGTCGTCCCAGTCCATTACATCGTCGCGCCCGGGCGCGCCGGCCTGCTGGCCGTGGTCCCTGACTTGCGGCTCGTGCTGCTCGTCGTGATCGAGGTCGTCGTCGTCCTCGTCGGTGTCGTACCCGTAGCGCCGCAGCGGCCTGATAGCACGGCGGGGGCGGTCCGGTGCTTGCCCTGCGCCTAAACCTCCGCGTCCGCGGCCTCGGCCTCTACCGCGTCCTCGCCCGCGCCCTCTACCGCGTGGGGCAGGCACGCCCGGTTCGTCGTGTTGCTCGCGGGGTACGGGTACTTCGGCCTCCTCTACGTCGAGGGGAACTGGCGCGTCGGCCATGGTTGGACAATTAGTCCACACCAGCGGCGGTTGTACAAGATAGTGTTCAAAGGGCGGCGCCTTTGCTGGACGGGGCGGATTCGCGGCGTGGGGCGCGTGGGCTCGTCGGACGGGGGCGGCGCTGTGTAAGCGCGTACTGGGGTTTTGTTTCAACAAGATTGCCCTTGCTATCCCAGGTAATTACTGTGCAGTAATCTATGTGTACTGTGTTGCAGGACGACGCGGTGTTCACTTCGCGAGGAGCTTCGATTTCAACAACAGATGCAGTTGGGTGTGGGGGATGGGACATAGCACTTGACTTTAATAAAGTTTTGACTTGATTTCAAGCCTCTATTCCTAAGTTAAGACTAGTTCACTCACTCCTTAAACTAGCACAGCTCGATGCCAGCTGGTCACTTTGACACAGTGGCAGAGTAGTCCTTTAACTAGCCTCCACAGCACGAATTCGCTCAGCAGGCGTGTGCAGGCGATCATCAATGCGCGGAGAGGACCGAACGTGCAGCTTTACTGATCATGCGGCAATTCGCTCAGCAATTGAATGCAGGCGACCATGCGTTAGGGGCAGTAGGCTACTTGTTCCTCATCAGTCAAGCACGTTCTCTCAACAATTTCGCACAGCAAATGAATGCAGGCGAACCTCACTGGGGGATCGTGTGGGCTGAGTATGTTGATAAGTGAGCAGGCAATTTCACGCAGCAAATGAATGCAGGTGGACGTCACTTGGTCACGTAACAATCAACTTATTTCTAACTGTAGTATTCGCGTAGGCGATTTCGCTCAGCAATTTAATGCAGGCGAGCCTCACACTACTTGTATGTCTACAGAGAAAATTAATGATTGAATGAAATGAATGAAAGGAAACATCAGAATTAAATATTTGGCATCACATGCCTCTCTCTCGGAAACCCCTTCACTTCTAGCTTATGTTTGAGGTATCTTAAAAATTCTCCTGCATGTACAATTGGTAGCAGATGGCCTTGGGATTTTCTGTCCTGCTCTCCTCCGCATTGTCAGGATAGGCTGGCGTTGGCATTCTCTGCCACTTACTTATTTTAAAAAGGTTGTTTACATTCACAGCTCTAGAGTCCACTATATCCATCGATACACTTCCCACTCTGAATGTCGCTTCATTAGTAAGTTAGAACTTTCTTTCGTAATATTTTACTGATAATATTTATTTACTGGTAATATTTGATCCAGGAAGCGAAGAAGGGGTTAAGTCGAGTTGATTCAGTGACCACTTATCAGTCTATCAAGTAAACATGAGCGAAAATTTGGTCCAAAAATAAGTGTGGTGAGACAAGTCCCATCCTCTGCATCTATTTTTAGATGACATCCCCACCTGTTCTCCCACCTGCAAGGTTTAGGCCTTGCAAAAGTGCACGGATTCAACTCGACTTATACACTGTTAAGAGAGGTCGTTATTTTACAACAGTAATCCCAACAATTAGTGTTGTAATTTTACAAATAATAATTCGTAAATTAACAACAAGATTCATGACATGAACAATTGTAAATTTTCGACAAACTTAACTCATAATTTAGGAATAAATTCGATTTTACGATGAAATCTTATTGTTACTGACGAAAGATCGTAGTTTTACTGATAAAATCGTTATCTTACGACTATTCTCGTTTTTAAAACGCGTAAACTTGTTTTCTTAAAATGAAGCTTCATTTTTAAGAATAGTTGCCTGTTAAATTTGTACCACGAACTGCACTGTTTTTTTACAAAGAAAATTGTAAATTGACAATCTGTTTATCATTTTACAAACTGCTTCTAAAATTTACAGGTGAAATCGTTAATTACAAGTATGATTGTAAAAGCAAGTCTGAAAAGTGCGTTTTCGTCCGTTGTTTCCTTACTATTGTTATAGTGTGGCAGTGTAAGGGACTTGGAGGAAAGGGTAGTCGAAGGTCTCGTGGAGACGGAAGCTTCTGTATTATCAGCAAGGTGACCGTGTACAGAATGGTGGCTGGCGCCAGACAGCGCGCCTTTATATTCAGATGCAGAAGAACATAAGGAAGAACAGTATGGTGGAGAGTGGGGGTGCATGGCCAATGGGATTTAGGAACCAGGGTATTTGAGGGAAGAACGAAAGAAGAAGGGTTGAGGTCCTGGCCAGGATCACTAGGGCAGTGTTTAGAAAACTGGGGAATGACCATCTAGAGGCCGTGCTTTGGTTATGTTCTCTATTATTTCATATCATAACACCACTCCCTCCTGAATGAAAGAAACGAAGTTTCTTAAAATTTTCCTCGTACACCCTTTTCTTCCGGCTTCATGTTGAACACTGACTTTAAATTTTTCTGACGTACTGGTTTAAGATTTTAGAACTATTCTCCACTCTCTCACTCAACTTAAACGTGATTTCACAGTCTGATTAAATGTCCAATTTTGGTAATTTCTTGAGTTTTCTTTCTTGAGTTGATGACGACTGCTCGCTGTCTTGATGTGACGCTACAAAGGCTCGCTTCCCCATTACACTTCTGGGTGCCAGGCGTTAGGGTGTCCAGTCCTAAGCCCGCGGGTCGGCTTGTTGTTAAAAAAAGAAAAATAAAGAATAGTTGGCCTTTAACATCTTAGACGCCAGGTAGACTCCAGCAGCTCCAAACGGATGTTACAACCGTCGTCACGATTTGCAACACCGCGTGAAGTTGGATGTTCCGCCTGTGGGCCAACCAATTTGTGTTAGTTCTGGTGAAGCTCCAACTGAAACAAACAGAAAAAACACTCTACACAGTTTTGCGCTTTTAAGTATCTAACCTCTACTCTGTCTGGTTGGTTTGCCTGGTGCCATCCGGACTATCTAGCTAATCCTATTCTAAAGGCACCTTGAAATCTAAGAAACTTAATTAGCTGTTTGCTAGTGCCAATACTTAACTTATGGAACTACTCCTCGCGTACGGGTTGGGACTCCTGGGCTGGCGTGACATCGTTTCTCAGGTTCTGGATAATGTCCAGGCGGCTGCCAGCAGTTGCTCAGGGGTGAGCGTTCCATCCAGGACGTGAAACTGGGTTAGTTTCCTCTTGCAGTAGCAGGTGTCAGTCAGATCGTGTAGCAGAGTGAGAACTCGACAGTGACACCTGCTTCCTCTGTGCGGCTCTGCGGTTCAATCGTTGGTACGCTATGGCCGGGGGTGTGCGTACGTAGATGTAGTGTATGGTTGTTGAGTGGGCTGGGCGACGGCGTCGCGCAGAATCCGTAGAATGCCATGTGTTCTTGACCGATGGCGCTCATCTCGGCGAGGCCTTGGGCAAACACTCTCAGTGAGCACTGGGGTGAGCGTTCCAGGACTGTTAGTCTTCCGGGTGACTGGCCAGCAATTTGGTTTGGCGGCGGCCAAGCGTGGCTAACGCGAGTACTTGGAAGGGGTAGCCCTCGATTGAGCCTGAAACATGGGGTTTCAAAATTTCTCATCAGGACACATGTGGCTATCGTGTGAACACGAAATGTCGGAAAACAATCCTAAATATGTTTTTTTGAGAAGCAAAAAACGAAACTCATTTTTTGACCATATTTTTCACGTTTCCGTGTTTGTGGCTCAGGCCCTGTACATGCTACGACCATATCCGAGGTTCACACGATAGCGACAAGTTTAAGAAACATTTTGCCGCAAACCACACTCAATTATCTCAATTTTTGCGCCCGCAATCGTGGGCACCAGGTCCAAAAATGGCGTTTCGAGAAAACGACGTTTGAAGTGAAACTACGGTATACTCGCATTATTCCTCATTACGGACGCAATTATTGACATTTTTGAGTTCGGTTTGCGCCAAAATATTCCTTTCTCCAACTGCGTTTCGATGGTTCCAGGGTTTTGGCATTGGACTTCAAGTGAAACACCTGAACGTTGACAATTGAGGTAAAATATGCAAAAAAAGTTACCCTTTTAGGAACTTCAAAAATGTGCCCAAGCCAAAGTAATTGGAATTTTGAGGTTGGGTTTGCGGCGTTCGACTCGGGATAAATAGCAGAAAAATATGATAAAATAAAAAAGGAGGCCAAAATTTGACGATTTTCACTGGTGTGCCCCCTTAAATTCAGATGTTCTGTCCCATTTGCTATGTTGACTGCTCGACATGGACACTCTTTAATTTCATTATTAGTTTCATTATCGCTTTCATATCCACTCTCTTCCTCCCTTTCTAAGTCCTCCTCAAAATCTGGGTTTGCCTCATCCTCAAGACCATCATACTGTAGTGGGTGGAGTAGTAGGACTTCTGCTATAATTGCATACTTGGGAATTTGGACACAAGTGTCTCCAAGATTTAGTAGAGTTACATTTACTGGGCCTGTCACACACGGTACAACGCCTGTCTGTGTGACTATATTTTCTGAGATTTGACTTTTAACATTAGGATTACTTTTACTGGCTGTTAACAAACCAACATGCATCTTGCCTTCCGCTCTTTCGGGTGGTTGGATTCCCAATGTTTGTTCACTTTCATGTGCGTTGGCCGCACTCATCTCACAATCTTTTACCATGGTTTTGTTCTTTGTTTCTAGACCGTCAGGCTGGCGATGACCGGTCTGGCTGTCAAGCTGGCGATGATCAGCCCCCTCCGCTCTTGCCTGAGACGTCACTGTGTGGCATGTCGTTTCCGGAGGTGAAGCAGAAGTGGACAGTTTCCTTTCCGACTCCGGAGGACGACTATACCCATTAATCGTCATGGCAAGCAACGCGTCAGACAATTCTGACTCATCAACCACCAGGTCAGTTTCCAACTTCGTGGAAACCTGCCTCTCTACGAAAGGTTTCAGCAAGATTTTCTGATTAGCACGTATGGGGTAGGACAGATTGCCACTGGCGAAATCTCCCTTGTGCACTGAGTTTACTACTTTGTATGGAACCTGAATGTCATTTTCAAGTTCGAGCATTTTAGTTTTGGTGTTTACAACACCCTCAAATGTATCAATGAAATCATAACCAATTAGATTTTCTGTAATATCAGCCTCATAGACTGGGAACCTATAAGTCTGGTTTCCAAATTTAACATCAGTCCACTCTGGCCCATACAGCGATGTCTTGTGTGATGTCGCACTTTTTAGTCGTAATTTAGAAACAGGTAGATTGCGAGTTCGTTTAAAAACAGTTATAGTAGCTCCTGTATCAATGATGGCTTCTCTGGCCTCGCCTGCCACAAGGCAGTTTACCAGTGGGCCTTTCTTATGGGGAAAGCAAGCTGCACATTTTAATTTATGCGCCGGGTTGATATTTTCTTTGCCCAAATTGGCTTGATGTTTGCAAGCTTTAGTAATGACAGGAGGGGACACCTGAGTCCTTAGTACAGAAA